TTAAGGCTGCTTACTTTATCTTGTTCTCTTTGTTTTCTCTTCTTTGGGCCCTCCTGGTCTCAGTTATAAAATACTGATGAGGCACTTCTCACTGTAGTATCAAGTGAGCTGTCGGGAGCAAAAGTCACCTTTTATGACTTTTTCCTAATATCTGAGCCTGACTAGTTCTGTCCTTCTGTTGAATCAAAAGCCATATGTTTCATCAGTGCCTCTTGTAAATGATCTAAGAAGGTGAAGGTTCTCATCTTTCTCTGGATGAATAGTTGACAATTTAAAATAATGAGTTCTCATCCTTCTCAGACCTTTAAGAATACATGTCTGAAGATATTTCCTATTCCAATCTCCTGTCTGGTTGGTAGGCAGAAGGGATCTTGTATAGGGACTGCTTGGGCTCCAGTAGGAACTGGCTATTTCCTGGCTACCTGTCCTCTGGCCTTCTAAGATTAACAATATGATATTTATTTCCAAATGTAGTAGCCAACTATATTGCTTCTTGTCTGTCATTAGAAGTCAATGGTTTCTATAAACAACAAACAACAATGTGCAATATGACAACCATGGTTGAATTCTTACCATCTTGTTTAGTGAAGCTCTGTATCATTTTTAGTGTTATTTTATTCTCTTCAATTGTTTGAGCAGTCTTGCATTCTTATATCTGGTAATCTGAGCAACTTCACTGAAGATAATAATATGTAATATAACAACCATTGTTAATTTCCTATCATCTTTTTTGAAATTCTGTATCATTTTTATTGTTTTTGTGTTGTTTTGTTTTTGTCTTTGTTATTGTTAGTTTGTTATCTTTTTTTCACTTTAAAATAAAAAAAGAAGTCAATGGTTGATTTAAGAGTAACATTACATCTTTTCAGTCTAGTTCATGGGTATGAGTAAGTCCCCTAAAGACCTCAATGTACTTGTCAGGGTTGTTTTAAAACTTTTCCAGATCTTGTTTGAGGTCACTGAGAGAAAAGGACACATGAACACAGGTAGTGTCATACTCACAATTTACCCTCAGTAACAGATATTGTTCTTAAAGACCTTGAACAAAATCAGCTAAGGTTGGATATAGCACAGTAGAAGCTGTAGTTTTGGCTTAGAAACCTCACCCTTAGTCTTTGAAGGGCAAGTGGTGGTGGTGGTGGGGTGAGCTCAGGCTCAGTAATAGTGAATGAGACTTTGATTAAGGTTGCTTGGAAACCTCATCCTTAGGCTTAGTAATAGTAGATGCATCTGATTGTGCATTAAGAGCCAGAGGTGTTTAGTTTTCCTATGGCTTACATTTACATTTTGAACACAAATAAGGATTATTATTAATGCAAAGAATGTCTGAACATAAGGTATTTTGGCCCATTTTTCCTCTGTCTTACAGTATAGGTCTAGTTGTGAAATGGCACCATAGTCAATACTTCTCTTTGCATTTCATTTTGCCTCTACAGGGTAGATTGGCCACATGATAGTGCAGAAAAATATTAAACAGGTCTTTCTCAATATATGAGGGTCAAACAATTTCCAGTGCCTACGAATACATTCCAAAGGAGTAAAAGAATTCAAAATTGAGTTCCCATCTACAACACAAAAGGAGAAATAGGCATCCCTTTTAATCTCTACTTGGCTGGTTTAGAAGCCCCTCTTATCTTGTTTTTCATTTATATGTCTGTCCTTTCTTGTTTCTACCTGCTACATATTATTTCTACCTGTGGCCTCCCTACTCTCCCCTCCGCCTCCAGGTTCTTGTTATGTAATTCAGGCTGGCCTTGAGCTATGTAACTCAGACTAGTAGAAAATTTATGGCAATCTTCCTGCCTCAGCCTCTTGAGTGCTGGGACTACAGGTGTGTGCCATCAACCTGGTTTATACTGCTCTTGAGTGTACTGGAAGCACTGCTGGGGCAGACACAAATCCTGGGAAGTTGATTAGCTTCATTTACAAGGACACACCAGCCTCACAAAAGTTCCCAGTCTTTCCCCGTCCTCAAAGGATTTGGGGATTTTGAGATCCTGGGTGTCCATCCAATGCTCTTTGTTCCAGATTTGCAAATCTCTCAAGAGATAGATTTGTCCTTTGTCCTCGAGACACTGCCTCTTGAGAGTACACAGCACAGACATCCTCAAGGAACGATCACTGTTTGTTTTTTTTTTCCCTCATTCTTCTCTCCCCATACTTTCTAGTAGCGAGGTAATTCTAATTCTATTTCTGCTGCTAAACTTTCCTTCAGTTATTCTGGGCTTTGGCTTTTGAAATTCAAAGTTCAGTGTCTTGCAGTTCAAGGTCTGTGCATTTATTTGCAACCTAAAACCTGTTCTCTGCTGGTGTCATCTCTCTTTTTTTTCCTTTAGTAATGAATATCATGGATTAAATGGAATGAAAGATAAAGAGTTTTAAGAAAATGACAAGAGGACAATGAATCTCAGTTATGATCTCGAAATCTCATCCTACTGTATCAAATGAGAGAACAACCAAAATAAAAGTTGTGGCACTGAGCAAGGTACCTGTTGTTTTGAAGTCTCCATTTTCCATTCTGTAAAATGTAGGATCCTTATTAGGACTATTAAGAAAATGTATGCAAGAATTTAGCTAACTGTTCAATTAATAGATATTATTCATCTGAACCCTGAGTAGAATTTGGAGTAAGCAGATATAATGGAGTAGTTTCTATAGCACTTTGTACTTCTATAAATTATAAAGTTAATGGACACATCAGCTATGGGCTTCAACATGTGAAGGATGTAAAAAGTTAAGGGTTGGGAAGAAATTACAGTCTTCTCCTCAGAACACTTAACCCCACCTCCGACACACACACTTAGTGGAAGGCAGATGTACAGAAAGGTCACAGGCAGGAATTCCACAGTACTTGGAAAATAATTCTTTTTCTCTTCTTTGTCACACGCAGATCTACTTTCCAAAACAAAGTAAAACAATAAGAAAAACAAAAACCTAGGGTCTATTTACCACCTTCTGCTATCCTGTCCTACCCACAGTGCGTTTCTTACATATAAGAATTACAAGAGCTTTTGCTATGTAAAAAGTACCTTCTGGGTAAGGTAATTTCAGTTAAATTTTTTATCAACACATATTAGTTGTATGTATGAATGGGGTTCAGTGTGACATTCTCTTACGTGCATATAGCATGCACTATTCAAATCCAACCTCCCCTTTCCACTTTCCCCCTTTTCAATCTCTAGTAATGACTATGTATTTTCCATTAAAGTTAATTTCTTAAGCTTGCACATAGGAGAGGGAACATACAGCGCTTGTCTTTATCTGTTTTATTTCACTTAACATAATACTCTTCACTACCATATTTAAAGCTGATTTCCCAATGACATACAGGGTTATCAGCTGGGAGGCCCATCATTATTTTAGCTTTGTGTCTCCTTTTAATCAAGAGGTGCAGAGCCTTACTCTGCTTTTACTCACCTGTCTTTAAAATGCTTGGTCTTAGATTCAGATGGTTGGTTGTACGTGATGGTCCCATGACTTTAAAAAGAGAGCTGGGTTGACAATAGCATGCCATTTTCTTATTAGATGGGATATGTCCTCCTAACAGAAACCAGAAACTAATAGATTCCTCGAAGTCCTTGTAGCCAGATCACCTAGAAATTTACTGATTATCAAGAGACATCTGGATTAATGTTATGTTTTCCCCCTTTCCCTATTTCTTTCTTTCTTTCTTTTTAGGTAGGGTTTCTTTTTGTAGCTCAGGCTGGTCTCAAACTCTCCGCAATCCTCCTGCTTCGCTCCTGCGTTCTGGGATTACAGGCCTGCGCCACTTGGCGCCCTGCCCAATTTCTAACTTCGCGAAGCACTTACTGAGCATCAGAAAAGCGCCCAATTTCTAACTTCGCGAAGCACTTACTGAGCATCAGTGATGTGGAAAGAGCCCTCAGGTCAGTCCTCGGTCCGTGCGAGTGGAACTCCACTAGCAGGGCTTGCTTTTATGATTAAATCTTAAGAACGGAGTGATTTGGAGACTAGAAAAAGCCCCTTTCCATTCCCTAAATCGACCGCTCCTGGTTTTATATCACGCCCCTCCCCGTGCTGTTCCAAGATTAGACCGAGGAGCCTCAGAAACAGGTGCCTGAGCCCAGCTAATCCTTCAGCCACGCCCACCTGGGCGGTGTCCAGACGGCGGTTGATTCAGCGACTAGCCACGCTTTTCTGATGCTCAGTGCGTGTGCTGGATTCACTTAGAATTCTGAGAAACACATATGTCCCCTCGCCCTTCAGATGGGGCCCTTCCAGTGTGTCCTCGGGTTTAGTAATTAGTGCTCGACGCTCTTCGGGTGTCCGAAGTCGCGCTTTTTATTTTTCTTTAATTATTGTGTAAAAATTTCAAGACTTAGTTTTTTTTTGGCACCACGCAGAAACAATCTTTCTTTCTTCTTTCTTTCTTTCTTTCTTTCTTTCTTTCTTTCTTTCTTTCTTTCTTTCTTTTTCTCTCTCTCTCTTTCTTTCTTTCATTCTCTCTCTCTCTCTCTCTGTCTCTCTCTCTCTCTCTTTCTTTCTTTCATTCTCTCTCTCTCTCTCTCTCTCTCTCTCTCTCTTTCTCTTTTCTTTCCTGGTTTTTGGTTTTTTAAGATAGGTCTCGCTATGTAGTTCGGATTGGCCATGAACTCAGTAGGTAGCCCAGGCTGGCCTCAAATTCACAGTGATCCTCCTGCCTTAGCCTCCAGAGTGCTGCGACTACTGGCTTGTGCCATCACGCCCGCCAGAAACCCATTTCTTAAATGAATCCCCTTTCACAGATGAGATAACTGAAGCTCAGAGAAGAGAGCGTAACTGGTGGTGCTAGTTCCCTTTCTACAGCACTTCTCTAGAAGTGTGCACGTTGCTTCCAGCTACAGCCGGAGCACTGATGCTGCGGTCGAAGTCCAAAGGTAAGAGTTTGCTGAGCCTCACACAGCCCAGTTTAGCACTAGTCTGGCCGTGGAGGAGTTAAGCGGAAGCCCCGCCCCTCGATGGGCGGGGCGAGTGGGGCAAGGTGTCTGTTCACAGTGCGGCGCCGCACTCCGCGTCGCTCTTCTGCGCCTGCGCGAGGCGCCGAGGGGACGGGTCGGACTCAGGAATGGCGGCCTCCGTGTTCTATAGCCGGTTGTTGGCCGCGGCCACCCTTAGGAGCCACCTGCCCCGGACGGCGCTGCGGGCCGCCGCCCAGGTATTGCTGCTCGGCCTGCTGTCACCTCGAGGGTCGGCAGGAGAAAGGGCGAGGTGGGACACTGGGCTCCTGTGGGCGAGGGGTGAGGGGACGGGTGCCCGGTAGGGGTCACGGAGCCCCTGGTGACACGTCTTGGGTACTGCGCCGGCCGCGGGCGGTTCGCCCGCAGCGCTGCTCGCCAGCCCCGCGAGCCGGTCGGTATTTGCGCTGCGCCGCTCCGGCCCGCGGTCCATGAGGTGGCCCGGCCGGACTGCCCAGCTGGTTTCCGAGGGGCCCGAGCGGAGGGACGGGCTCTTGCCTGCGGGGAAGGGCTCGGGGAGCTGTCTGCGGCCGTCCCGCGTCCGGGAGGCGGCCGGGCTTTCCCGGCCCTTCTGGGGAGGGGGATGTCCTTCGAGGGTGCTCTCGTGTCTCTTGGGGGCCGACATAGGTGAGAGTGGCTTAAGACCATCAGTGGCTGCGACTCGCCCTCGGAGTAGGTTTGTCTTGTTCTGTGTATTAGTAGTGGTGAAAAGGTTCTCTTTTACATTTGGGGAAGTAACATAATCTTTTGGATCACTTCATTTCTGGATAGACTGTAGCATGGGAACCCCTTTGCCCTGAAGTAATTATAGTGTCAGATACTGGGATAAGCTCACCAGGGTTTTCAGCAACACGGAGGGAGTCGTTAAGACCTGCATCGCTGGTTAGGTAGTACTGTGGCTGAGAGAATAAGTGATTTGGACTAGGTAGCACAGTAGGTGATGTGAAAGGTGAAGTTTAATTTCAGAATTATCCAGTTCTTACATTGGTATGCGTTAGTCTCTTGCTTTAATCTCCTGTAGGATTTGACAGTAAAAATTGACCTCTTCTTTCTCATGTTGACATCAAGAAAATGTGGAAGACCATGACTGCTTCCTAAGTCAGTTCTGGAGTTTTATGTTATGTTCAGAAGTAACTCTTCAGTCATACAATATATGAACAGATTTAGGCGTTTTTTTTTTTAAAGATCTGTATAAATTTTTTTTTCTTGAACTTCCTTTAAGAGTGCTAATTTTTTAGAGAATGAGGCTTTGGTGAAAAAATGTTTTCATTCTAGTCATAATCTTTATTATCTGGCAATACCTTTTAAAAAGACATTGTTATTCCACATGGGCATGTCTAGTATATTGTCTTTATAACAACATCTCTCTTTTTCTATCCTGGCATTAAGAAATACAACCTTAGAGTTTGAAAAGACCTTATCTAACTTTTTTCGTAGATGGAGACACAGAGATACACAGTCTTCTGAAACTTGCTCAAGGTCACACACTAAATTTAGCAATTCTCTTCAACATTTTCTTAGTACTATAACCTTCTTCCAGTTTTTTTTGTATCTTTATTGAATATAATTCATGTTATAAGCATATATTTGAGAGATTTTCTTGGATTTGGTTAGGATTGGTAATCTCTTGGCAATAGAAGTCTTTTTCTTTTTTCTTTTTAGTTGACATAATATTGTAGATAATCATGGGGTTCAGTGTGCTGTTTCAGTACATGTATACGTTGTGTAATGATTAAATCAGGTAATATTTCCATCACTGGAAACATTTATCATTTCTTTGTGCTGATAACATTCATACCCTTTCTTGTAGCTGATTTATTTATTTTTTGGTATGAGGACTCAAACTCAGGACCTTGTGCTTGCCAGGCAGGCACTGTGCCACTGAGCTATATCCCTGGCCCTCTTCTAGCTGTTTTAAAATAAATCATACCTTATAATTAAAACTGTAGTCACCCTACTGTGCAACAGAGTACTGGAAATTCTTCCTATTTAATTGTAACTTTGTACCTGTTGGCAAACATTTCCTTCTTTAGGAGTAGGAATCTTTTAGGTGACAGTGTCAGAAAAGATGAATACTTAAATGTGGGAGTCCTTGTGATTATACAGAAATTTATATTACTAACAAAATTCGAAACTGATCATATGCTAAGTTAAAATTTTTAGTGCAAGAAAATAATTATTAGTGTAAGAAAAGAACATATTTTAGACATTAAAAATTAGTGTAGCTACTATGGAAGTCAATGTGGAGGTTCCTCAAAAAATAACTAGAAATAGAACTACAGTACCATTTGATCCAGCTATACCATTCCTTGGTATATGACCAAAGGAATTAAACTCAGTGAACCATAGGGGATACCTGCATACCCATGTTCACTGCAGCACAGTTCACCATGGCCAAGATATAGAACCATCCTAGGTGCCCATCAATAGATGAATGGATAAAGGAAATGTGGGATACATACACAATGGAGTATTATTCAGTCACAAAAAGAACAAAATTATATCATTTGCAGGAATATGGATAAAACTGGAGATCATCACGTTGAATGAAATAAGTCAGATTCAGCGAGACAAGTATTACATGTTTTTCCTTTTTTTTTTTTTTTTTGCGGTACCGGGGGTCGAACTCACGACCTTGCACTTGCCAGGCAGGCGCTTATGCCACTGAGCTATATCCCCAGCTCCTGTTTTTCCTATTATGTGGAATCTAAAAGAAATAACAGTAGAAGGGAGATTATTATTAGACAGGAGGAAGGGAAGAAGAGGGAAAGGGAAGGGATGCAAGAGTGAGTAATATGAGGCATGAATAGGACCAAAATACATCACGTGTTGAACCCCTCCCCCTGTGTGGAACTAAGGGGCAGGGTAGGGCAATGGAGTTGATGGGGAGTGATGAAAGTATGTTATGTGCATGTACAAGTCTGCCAAAATGAAACCCATTAATCTATATCATTGTTATGCACTAATAAATAAGTGGGGAAAATATTTGAGACATTGGGGCTGGGGATTTAGCTCAGTGGCACAGCGCCTGCCAGGCAAGCACGAGGTCATGAGTTCGATTCCTGGTACTGGAAAAAAAAAAACCAAAACGAAAAAAATATTTGAGACATTTCTTTAAAGTGGTATAAAAGCTACAGTAATGTATGTGTACTAATGTTTTGATATTAGAGGTATTTGAAAGAAGCTGTAATATATATACATAGCTTTGCACTGGGGTTTACCTTCATCTTTTTATGGAAAAATCTCAAGCTAGTAGGAACATTCCAATATTAGTATAGTGAGTATCTATATTGTCTTTACCTAAACTTAACACAATGCCATATATGTTTTATCTTTAAAAATTACATATGCATTTATTTACTTATATGTATGTATAAGGTCACACATTCATTTAAACATTTTTTTGTGATAAAATATATTCATAAAGTGGAATACCTTAAATTCACAAAAAAACTAAATCTTGATAAAATGTTGATAGATAAAAACAAAGCACAAAATTATTTGTAGAGTGTATATAGGTTTGCTACTTATAATTTTTAATGGCATATTACTGATGAAATCATATGTTTAAGGTATACAGCATATTTGGAGATACATTGTGAAGTGATTATTATAATTTAAGCTAATTAATAATCACCTCACATATAGAAATTCTTAATTTCTTCTGCTTAGAAATGTTTTTTTTTTTTTTTTGGTTTTTCTCCGGTACCAGGAACAGAACTCATGACCTTGCGCTTGCCAGGCAGGCGCTTTTGCCGCTGAGCTAAATCCCCAGCCTGCTTAGAAATGTTTTATAACACAAGTAAAACAATATTTTTTAAACTGAAAGAAAAATGCTGAGCATCTCACTTCCAGAAACAGATTAAACAATTAAGTGAACATAGTTCTAGACAATTTTTAATATTTGTTTTTGAAAAGAACAAATTGGCAGTGCTGTATACATTATTTTGCAGATTACTGTTTCACTTAAGGAAGTATGGTAGACACCTTTTACTTAGTACATTCATGTCAGCATTGTATTAACTTTTCAGTTGCTGGGACAAGTTACTGGACATCCACCACTTAATGGGGGAGAGGTTTATTGGGCTCACTGTTGTAGAGAATTCATTGCATGGTAGGCTGGCTTCAGGGCAGCAACATCATAGTACAAGGGTATGATATAACAGTTATATCAGATTAGTTCCTATCAGTCAGGAAGCAGACAAGGGAAACTTTGCCAGAGAGAAGGGGGCCAGGACCATATATAATACCCAAGGTCATACCCAGACACATCCAGAAGTGTACTTCGCTAACTTCCTAGGCAGCTCCCAAGTCGGTCAAGTTGACAGTTAATGTTAACTGCTATAAACATCATGATCTCTTAAGGACATAATAACTTTCATTTTCCATCCCACCTGTGTTCTCTTATACCCTTTCCCCACTCCTCTTTATTTTCTTCCTCTTGTCTAGTAATAATGTCCCTTTGTTTTATTATCTTCTTTAGATTTCACATATTAGGAAAGACATGTAATACTTGTCCTTCTGAGTCTGGCTTATTTTATTCAACGTGGTGATCTCCAGTTTCATTCATACTCCTGCAAATGGCATAATTTTATTCTTTTTATGGCGGAATAATAATCAATTGTGTATAGGTACCATTTTTTTATTCATTCATCTGTTGATGGGAACCTAGGATGGTTCCAATATCTTGGCCATAGTGAATTGTGCTGCAATGAGCATGGGTATGCAGATATTCCTATGGTACACTGAGTTTAATTCTTTTGGGTATATACCAAGTAATGGTATAGATCAAATAGTAGTATTCTCAGTAGCCATTCTGACTGGAGTGAGTTGGAATCTCAGTGTAGTTTTGATTTACATTTCTCTAATGAATAAAGGTGTTGCAGGTTTTTTTTTTTTTTTTTAATAAATTTAAGGGCCATTTATTCTTTTTCTTCTGAAAAATAATTTGTCCACTTATTGATTGGCTTGTTTGATATTTTTCCCTTGGTGTTTTTTCAGGTAGTTTAAATATTATTCTTCTTGTTGGAAGAGGAGCTGGTAAAGTTTTTCTCCCATTCTGTAAGCTGTGTCTTCACTATGTTAGTTGTTTCTCTTGCTTCTGAGAAACTTTTAAAATTTGATATAACCCCATTTGTTGTTGATTCTTACTATTCATTCCTGTGCCATTGGTGTCTGGTTTAGGAAGTCTTTGCCTGTGCCTGTGGCTCAGATGTTTTTCTGATGTTTTTTTTCTAGCAGTTTGAAAGTTTTTAGTATTAAACTATCAATGGTTTATATCTTGATGTCGCCTCAAGAGCCTCATGTGCCAGAGGCAGGCTTTTGGAAGGTGGTTGAGTCTGGGAGCTCTATAGCAAAATGTGATATTAGGAGGAGAGGCGAGGTCAAAGGAGGTGGGTCCCTGGTGCTGTGACTGTGTAGGGGTGTCTCCCTTCTGGCTCCTCCCTTAGCTCCCTGCTGCCTTTCTGTTATGAGGTGAGCAGTTTTCTTCCACCCAGTCCCTTCCACTGTGCCACCTACCATGGAAGGACTGAGACATCTAATACATGAGTCAAAACAACCTCTGGGCTGGGGATGTAGTTCGGTGGTAGGACTCTTGCCTAGCTTGTGTGAGGTCTTAGGTCTAGTATTAAAAAAAAATTCCCCTAAATAATCACAACATAAATTATCATACATAGAAAATTTAACATTCTCATAAGAGAAATGTCTAATACAAGTATGTAATCAGATTCAGATTGCCTCAGTTGTCTCAAAATAATCCTTTATAGCTGTTAGATATTTTTAGAAACTGGGTTCAGGCTGCTATGGTATTTTGTCTGATCCGTTCAGGGAATTAGGTGCCACCTAGTGACTTTTATACTACTAATTTAATGTTCTGTATGTATTGCGATTGTTTATTTACATGTCTGTGAACACTAAGATCATGTTGGCTTTAGTGTTTTTAGCATCCTTAGCGTTCATTGTAGTATATAGATATTCAAAAACTACTTGAGCATGTGACCATTTTTGACAAATTTTTGCTAGGCACTCCTCCCTTGTACTGTTATTATTTTGAGGCATAATTTATATACAATAAAGTATAACTTTTAGTTGGGTAGCTAGATCGACTTATTTTTTGCTAGATTGATTTTTATATCTGTATTCATTGGTGTATTGACCATCCAGATCAAGATACACAATGTTTTTGGCTCTCAAAAAGCTCCATGGTCCCTTTATCAGTACTCCCCCACAGAGAGTAGTAATCATTTATTCTGACCTCTACCACCAAACACTAATTTTGGCTGGTTATGTAAACAGAGATTGTGTAAGTATTTGTGTGTATGGTTTCTTTTCCTCAGCATGTTTGAGAGATTAATCCATTGATGTGTGAACAGTAGTTTGTTTATTGCTCTGTAGTACCCTATCATATAAATATAGTGCAATTTACCCATTCTATTGATGGACAGTTCATTTACATTTTGAAATGAATAAGACATTCTTATATATATCTTTTGGTAAATGTAAGACTCATTTCTGTTGATAGGTATATAGGGTTAGAAGGGATTCTTGGGTTAGAAGATAGATGCACAGAATAATTTGGAGTGATTTGGGAGGTTGTTAGCTATTGAAATGACACTAATTAAGGAATTTAGTTATCCAGGAAAAATATTAGTGAGGACTTTACCTCACTAAATGAATAAAAAATAAGTTGCTATTACATGTAACTGTCTTAAACTAGAGGTTCATGAACTGTAAATTGTTAAGAGTGGAGATTTCCTTCCGTCTTGCTCAGAGATTCCAATTTTGTAGATGAGAACGGGGTCTGAGAATCTGCTGTTCTAGAAGCAGATTTAATTTTGGTGCAATATATCATAAACCCACTTTAAGAAACATTACATAAGGATTCTTTCAATTCAGTTTTTATATTTTTGTGTTTCACATAAATCGTTTCAGTATATTACATTGTGTTTGGGGATACAGGATGAATACGGATAAAACTTAGAAATGTTCCAATGCAGTTTTTCAAAGCTTTCATAGAATTTAATTTGTTTGTATATTGTCTTGTGAGGTTGATATGATTGAGGAGTTTGTAAAAGGGAGGCTGGCATTTCAACAGTTGTTATGATGGGTTTAGATTAGGCTGTGATTTAGTGGAGGCTTTGGAACTAATATGTGTGAGAGATCTTAATGTGACTATGATACAGGAAGCTGAAAAACCAGCCTTCACTCTTTTCTCTTTTAGCAGTGAAATAAAAACTGCTTCCTACTTAATTCTTTTTGTGAGAGTACTTCCGGCTCTGCTTTACTCAGGAACATTATAATTTTTTCTTCCACTATATAAAAGTACATATCACTTTTTATTTTCTATCTCTTTCCCCTTTCTTACCATGTTTGGCACATAGTTATTAATTTAATGTCCCCCTGTTCTACAAATATTCATTGAAATGTCAGCCCTAGGAGTAAAGTTATTCTGTTTGGTTCAGTGCTTTATTTCTTCCTCTTTTAGTTTTGTTTTGTTTTGTTTTATGAGAAGGGTCTTGCTTTATAGTTCAGGCTGGCCCTGAACTCACTATGTAGCCAGGCTGGCCTCAGACTCATGGCAATCATCCTGTCTCAGCCTTCTGAATGCAGGGGTTATAGGCATGTATGTACCACTATGCCCAGCCACTGTTTTATTTCTAGTGCCTAGATAATCAATAAATACTTACTAGGATGAATGAATGTTCTAAATAGATTGAAAAGTGAAGAAGTTATAGTTGGCATTGCTTTTTTGGGGAGATTTTAGGGTTCAATTGTGAAGGACAAGCACTTGAACTGGACTTGTAAAAGAGGTACCACTTAGAGGAGTTGCTTAGAAGGAATACGTTAAAAACAATATTGAGTGTTGGTTCTGTGAGATGAATACTGTATATTATGAGATGGAGAGTTGTGTGGAAGGTGTTTATTGGAATGTGGCAATGCTTGTGGGAGACTGAAGGCAAGAGAACCGAGTAAACAGAGAAGTGTAACTGTGGCACAGCTCTGGGTCCCTAAGACACCTGCTACTCCTAAGGGAGAGCTGGAAGTAGGATGGCCCTTGTGAGTTGTCCCAAGTTGTAGTAATGTACCAAATCCTTCTGTCTCTCTCTCTCTGCCCCTATAGATGTCAGTGGGTGCAGCCTGCGAAGGGGAAGGGAAAGTGACTTTGGGCAAGGAGATTCTAAGGCATGGGAGGACTTGCCGGAGAGCTGTCCCAGTCAGCACTCCCAGCAGCCGGAAGCATGAGTGTCTTGGTCCTGAAAGGAGGAACTGAGTACCATAACTTAGTGTCCACTAGAAATGAAGTCAGGGTTTTGAGTCTTGAGTGTATGAAAAAGTGTTGGTGTCATTCAATCATCTATTGCCAGATGATATGTTAGATGTCAGAGGAATAGTAGGGAGAAGAAAGTTGGAAGGAGTTTTGGTTTGATGGAAAAGATAAGATAGATTTTAGATCTGCTAAATTTGTCACTGACATAGAGATGCCCCTGTAAGTCATTGGAGATATGGTAGTAAAGATCAAGTGTAAGATAAGGACAAGAGGTGATAAGGAAATACTTAAAACTACAAGGGTAACATTGGATATTTAGATGTTTAGATTAGCTTTTTATGATATGTTGTCATTTTCAGGTGCTCTGAATAGTGTGTTCTGATGATTTACTATAACAGCTCATTATAGGAGAAATCAAATACTCTATAAACAAAGTATTTCAAGGAGGTGTTTTAACAAGAATTAATTGTCAAGTCATTATTATATGTAAATATGTTCCCTATTTCTCTAGGTTCTGGGAAATTCTGGATTGTTTAATAATCATGGACTCCAAGTACAGCAGCAACAGCAAAGAAATCTCTCACTACATGAATATATGAGTATGGAATTGTTGCAAGAAGCTGGTGTCTCAATTCCCAAAGGTTATGTGGCAAAGTCAGCAGATGAAGCTTATGCAATTGCCAAAAAATTAGGTACTAAATTAAGAAAAACTTATACTACCTTGACATGGGAAATTTACTTTTGCTTTGATGACTACTCTAAGCTTTAATTTTTAAAAAAGTTATATTTACTTGGTAGAACTTTATGATTGTTAAAATTCTAAATTTATTATGAGATGATTTTTGAGCTCCTATAGTGTGATTTAAAAGGAGTTGCTTATACTGATGTGAGGAAACTGAAACCCTATTTTTAGTTAGCATGTGGTTATGGAGAAGGAAATTCTGTTTACTATGGAGAAGGAAATTTCTGTTTAAGATACTTTGTATCTTAAAGGGTTGGTGCTGTGTTGATTTTTCAGAGAAATGATGAGAGAAGATCTTAGTTGTTTATTTGATTGTAAAGATAAGTCCAGTACTTTCCTTCTTGTTTTTGGTTTAAAAAATATGGAACCAAAGTGGAGGAAAATGAGCTCTACAATGTGAGCTGAGCTCCGTGAGAGCACAGTTACTTTGTTGTACTTGTGCACTGATGTGTCCCAAAGTCTTAGAAGAGTAGTTTTAGAAGAGTAGTTGAATGTAGATCATGGATAAATACTAGTATTTTTTAAATGAGTGAAATAAGTTGCTCGTGTTTATTAGTAAAGTGTTTTATTGATGACAGAAACCTTTACCGATGACACAAAAGTTATTACTTTTGATTTGAACTTATATTAATCTCTTAAGAGCCAACTTTTTATTTTAGAAATTTTTTTTTTTAATACTGGGAATCGAACTTAGGACCTTGTGCTTGCCAGGCAGGCACTTCTGTCACTGAGCTTTATCCATGGCCCCTAGAAAATAAGTTTACAAATATTTAACATGAGACCATAATAATGAGATAATGGAATAGCTTACACTGCATTTTCTTTATATAGTAATATTATAGTAGTAGTTTAAATCTCACCAATTTTATGGAGATTAGCACAATTAATCTTTCTTGAAGTGTACATTTGTTAGTATGTCTTTATGCTTTGGTGAAGACTTTCCTTTTATTAGTTTTTAAAGAAAGATATGAAACATTTAAGAAATATTTAAATTTTAAAAGGTTTTGTCTTGATTTGTAGAATTAGTTTTTCTTTTAAAAGGAGGGTATGCCCAAGTTCAAAAAATTATCATTTAAAATATGTTTTTCAATGAAATGGGCAATGCTTTCCTTGACTTGGTTTTATTTATAGTTTTTTGGTTAGAACAGGTATTTTTATTTAGATTAAAAACAAACATTAAAAAAATTGTACTAATTTTGATGTAATTTTGATTCATTATAGGTGATTTGTAGTTTGAATTTGTGTGCTTAGTGTTTTTTTTTTTTTTGGTTTTTCTCTGGTACCGGGAACCGAACTCACGACCTTGTGCTTGCCAGGCAGGCGCTTTGCCGCTGAGCTAAATCCCCAGCCCCTTGTGTGCTTAGTGTTAACAGGACCTGATGTATATCATGAAATTAGTAAAAACTCCTTTTTTCTTATTTCCAAATTGTTGTAATTGGTTTTAACTGTTTTCTCAAATTTTATTGTTTTGTCAGAAAAAATAATTTATGCAGGAGTTTTTTCATAAAACAAACATGATGTTTGATGCCAATCTCTTTGATTTCTTTACTCCTTATAAAAAGCATTAAGTTTAGATACAGAAGAACAGTTAATATGTGCAGGGTAAACTATGGTGTTCTTGGCAAGTTCTCTGAGACTAGGACTTGTAAGTAGTAAGGAGCAGATTTGATTTTGAGCCTCCTCAAACAACATATCTTGTTTACTGAGAAAATGTGGTTTGTCACAAAATACTGCAAAGGATGATTATAGGGATTAGCTACTAATAAAAATCTTTAAATCTAGAAGAGCAGAAATGTTCCCTTTTTTGGTTTGTTTTCTCTTTTGGATTTTTTGAGACAGAGTCTCTTTGTAGTTCAGGCCAGCCTTGAACTCAGGGTGGTCCTTCTGCCTCAGCCTCTTTAAGTGCTCAGATTACAAGCATGTGCCACATGCCCAGGAGACATGCTAGGTTTTAAGAGACATATCTAGTAGCTACTATGAAGACACTGAGGACAATGTGTGCTTTTGGTGAGTCATTAATATCAGAAGGTAATTGATTATGGGGTCTAAATGCATAACATATGGTATGAAGTATGGTGTGGTTTTATCCATTAAGACAGCAATTCCCAGGGCTGATATTCAGCTACATCAGAGTTAATTTTGCTTCTTACTTCAACATTCACAGAATGCTTATTGCTAGTGCCCCAAGTAGTGTTCTAGGGCATAAATGAATTACAGATGTGCCAGACTGTTACTTCCCCTCAGTTCTGTGGGTGGCAGGAGAAGCTGAATTAACAGAGGGCCTGGGGTCACTAAGCCCTACAACTGATGACTCCTCCTGTAATAGCCTTGACCTCTTTTTCCAGTATTCTCTCCAAATTCTCTCATTTTCTGTGCATTTTATGCTGTTGAAAAAGTTGGGAAGCATTGTTCTGGAGTTATGTTTTACCTAGTATAAATCATTGAGGTTAGGAATGGAAGAGTAATAAAAAAGAAATTTAATGCTAGCTTTAAAAAAGACTGTATGCATCTACAACTTGAAGATTAATAGAATTGAAGATCATGGAGAAATTTCTGGAATGGTTTATCAGAGGGATGACTGTTAAACACAGAGAAATGAGGTAGTTATAATTTGAGGTCAGTTGTCAGAGCAGTGTACCATCTCTTATAGTTAATTGCTAGCTAAAGGACATATGATTTTAAGAGGACATTGGCAAAGTTTTTATAATTTCCCTATTAACCATAGTAGAGTTGGGATTCTAGTATAATTAAGTAGAATCTCTGTATGGTTCAGTAAACACAAATTAATGTCCATCAGCTGAAGTTTGATTGCTAATTGCTTTACCTTCTTTAGTCTTGTTTTCATTATTTTATTAGTTATATGACTTTATACAAGGCATACTTAATGTGTTTGTGAAAGACTAAACCTAGGAAGGATAGTGAATAAATATATTTCAAAGACAGTATTGGGATCCCCAAAAGACCTTTTCTGACTAGAGGATAATGCCAAATTGGTAATAGAGCAAATAATTACAAGCTCTGGGAGGGCAGGCTAGGGCTTGCTCATTGTATCTACAGTTCCAGCATGGTAACTGGTGTGGAGATGAATCTATTGAATGAGAGTTAAAGAATTTGTTTTAATGAGTTGTTCTTAAACTTACAACCCTTTCCTCCTTCGTAATAGTTGATGACACTGTATGTCATTACTTCATATATACATATTATAAAAGTATATATATTACTTTTGTTGTAAAGGGCTATCTTTAGATGAAGGTTCTGAAGAGTTGTTTTGCCTGGAAAGACTTTATATTCCCAAAGGAGAAGGACACTTTGAAAGAGCTTTTTGTCTTTAAAGATGTTTATAAAAAGTTGGAGCATTATTATTATTTAGTAGATCTGTGTGTTTCTAATTTAATGGTTAAGAATGGGTGAATTTAGCCTAGTAAAGCACCAGTTTAACTGTTGACTAATTTTTACATCATACTTATGCTGTTTGTATTTCAGTTATCACCTTTGGATATCCATGAGTATTTTTTAAGTACTAGAACTGTAGGACTTGGCAGGTTGTAATCAGAGACAGTAGAGTAAATGTATGTGCTCCTTTTAGCTTAAGCACTACCTCTCATTTGCTATCATCTTTGAGGCCACCTTCTGAGTAAGAAAATTATTGTTGGTTTTTAGGAAATTTTTAAATTGTCTCTGATCTTTACTATTGTTGATATACTTTTGAGTGCTAGAGACTGTGGCGTATTGAAAAGGGTCAGTCTTATCTAATCAAGACAGTTCTCTGATGAGCTCTAGTTGCAGGCCTTTTGGCCCTGTATTTTCAGTTCTAATATTTTTTTGAGAGCAGTGGAAGAATCTAAATTGGCAAGAATTCTGTTCATTTGAAAATGTTCCTCTTTTCAACATTCAACAAAATATGTGATGGAACCCTTCCAAAAGCTTATAAGTACCAATGAATACAATAAAGATTCTACCATCCTAGAGCCTGTATTTTAATGAGAAAGGAAAACAACAAAAGATATACATGAAAAAATTATGTATTATGTTAGAAGGTGATAAGATCTATAGGGAAAAATGTAGGTCAGAGAAGAGGAATTGGTCACAGGTAGGCAAACTGCAATACAACTTGAAAGGGATGAAGCCTTTCCCAGTGGACCTCCAAGAATATGCCAAGCCAAATACTGAAGTCATGGACATATCAGGAACAGTCAAGAGACCAGGGTAGCTGAAGTAGAGCAAGCAGTGAGGAGTATGCAGAAGTTAAAAAGGATGAGGATGTTAGTCATGTCATGTAGGGCCTGTGTCATGGTCACTTTCTTGTTGTAGGGGCAAAATACCACACATCCACTGAAAGGATGACAGATTTATTTTGGCTGATGGTTTGTAGAGTGTTCACCTTATAGTTAGCTGGTTCCAAGGCTGGCTTCAAGGCAGAAAGGGCGTGGCATGGTAGAAGCATGGGTGCTGGGAAGCAGAGAGGAGACCACAATGGAGATTGATAGTACTGCGTTTTCTAACCAAGCCCTGCCTCCTAACAGTATGTTCAGCTGTGGATTCATTAGTGGGTTAATCCATTGATGAGTGTAGTGCTCCTGTGATCCAGTCACCTACCAACACATGAAAAATTTGAGGGACATTTTAAATCTTAACCATAACAACCTGGTAGGCTATTGTAAGAACTGTGGCTTTTACTGCTAGCAAAGTGGGCAGTTACCTGTAGCACAAACTTTCAAGCAGAGCATGATTTGTCGCTTTGGCTATTGCTTTGAGAATATTCTGTGGGGGATGAGAGTCATCCAAGTGAGAGGTAATGATGGACCAAGGGCCAGAGAAGTTATGAGGAGTGGCCAAGATTCTGGGTAAACTTTGAGGGTGAGAACTGTTGTAGTTTCTCAGTGGTGTGGGTATGAGAATGAGTTATTTTTAAAGAGTATTGACTGATGCATACAGTGTCATTTTCTGATTTAAGTAATCAACTTTTCACATGTGGCTAATTTACTTCATTAATTTTTTAAACATTCTTTTGTAAGAATTGTTTTGGTCATAAACTGTATTTGTTACCTCATTGGTTGTCTAGTTGGCTTATTCTGCTGGATATATGTATTAGGGAATGACTTTCCCCCATACTATATTTCCTATATTCAGCCTGCTCAAATATGTTTATAGACTAGTTGTTATATCAGAGTGCTTTGTGCTTGGGTTATAACTAATACGATGAGGCTGTTAACCCTGCCCTGAAAGGTTAATTATTTTCCATTATGTCGTAATTAGTGTTGTGTTGGCACTATGGCATACTCTTTGAGAAGCAAATGAGGTATTACCCTTGATTCTGAACAACTCATGATATCTAGGCTAAACATCTAGCTTTCTGGTTTTATACAGCAAATTAGAAGAGAAGGAAAGACAGTGATCAGTCTTTGTGTTAAGAAAAATAGAGACTGTTTATAGAATACGCATAAAACATGTAAACACAATAGTCTGGATTTTCTGTTATACATGTGTCTTACTCCTGATAAGTACTTTTCATAATATTACTGATCAGTAATATAAACAGTACATTCTGTTAGTGGAGCAGGATAAATCAGTATCCATACTGGTAGTGGTAACCTCCAAGTCATGGCCTATTCCTGCTCAAAGTAGTTGTTCTAACTCAGATTTTCACAGAATAGCAAGTTTCCATGTGAATAGAGAGCCAAGGAGGTATTCAGATAACATTTGGGTCTCACGTTTTTGTTTTTAATAACAAAGCACTAGATATTTCAGGTATCAAGGAGCAGTTGAACTATTCTCAATATGCCATACTTTAAGAAGTGATTTGAGTTGCTAATTTTTTTTTGCCGGGAGAGGGGTGTTTTTCCTGTATGGGGAACCAAACTCATGACTTTGTGCTTGACAGGCAGGCCCTGTGCCGCTGAGCTAAACCCTCAGCCCCTTGAGTTGCTGATTTTTAGAGTCATGGATCTTTTAGATGATGAGTACTCTAGTTAATATGTACCCTCGGTGCCTCATTTTTTGTTATTGTAAATAGATGAGACCTTATTTAGAATTATTTTGCTTATTATTATTAATGTGTATTGTACAAATTAATAGAATTTACTGTGGTATATCCATACATGGACACATGCCTATTATTATGTACGTTAAGTAAAATACTGTCTTTTGTATGTGACTCCTTGATCTGTAACAGAGTTTTTCTTCTAGGTTCAAAAGATGTTGTGATAAAGGCACAGGTTTTAGCTGGTGGTAGAGGAAAAGGAACATTTGAAAGTGGCCTGAAAGGAGGAGTGAAGATAGTTTTCTCGTAAGTTATTGTTTAAAGAAAAATTACCATTATTAAAGATTAATTATTGAATTGATGAAAATACTGAAATTTACATATTAAGTGATATGAGTTTAGCCTTAAAATTGATTATTCTAAATTTTTATAATTGGAAGGCAGAAAAATTTAAGTTCTTTTTTTTCTTTTAGTCCAGAAGAAGCAAAAGCTGTTTCTTCACAGATGATTGGGAAAAAGTTGTTTACCAAGCAAACTGGAGAAAAGGGCAGAATATGCAATCAAGTTTTGATTTGTGAGAGAAAATACCCCAGGAGAGAATACTACTTTGCAATAACAATGGAAAGGTCATTTCACGTGAGTAACTGTAGACATGACATGTTAAAGGTGACTTTGTAGTGTTTAGTTTCAGAAATTGAGTGTTAGTTGTACAGGAAAGGTCAAAAAAGTATGATTTATAGTGCATCTATGTATGTCATGAGCATGGTGTTTATATCCTTTTTAAAAAGTATCATGGTAAGTAGACTGAGCACCTTCTTTGAAGGTAACAGTATGTAATATAACAACCATTGTAAATTTCTATCATTTTGTTTTGAGGTCATGTATCATTTTTGTTGTTTTTGGGTTGTTTTTATTTTGTCTTCATTGTTTTGCCAGTTTTTAAATTTTTAAAATAAAAAAATCATGGTGTATGCCATAAAATTTGATATATAATATCATGATTAAAATGCTATAGGAAAATACCCTGCTACAATACATTTCATAGAATTTCCAAATGATTATTTCACTAAGAACAGTTTAAATCATCTCTGGATCATCTCTAATATATTCCACAGACTAAGAAAATATTTTCTAGCAGAGTAAAATATTTTTACCAAAGAGAAAAATCTCTGAATCTACTAAGAAAATGTGTATGTGTTGCTTTACAAAATAATTCTTTTTACCTCTTTTTTTTTTTTTAAATAATTTAGTTGCTTTTCACATAATTTGGTACTTGGTAAGTTGAAGGTAACATTAAAGTATTAACAGTATGGTTTTAATGAGTATGACATTACCCCTACTCTCCTTTTATGGAACCTGAAAGTCTAGCATTGAACATAGGCATCTGGTTCTATAAAAATCCTTTGATAAATCTATTACTTAGAATATTAATGATTTATGTTGCAGTTATCTGGCTTCTTGAGTGCATTAATTAGCTTTTACAGTCTGAGTCTGTGTGTTAACTGGTTTGGTTTTTGAAACAAACTGGATATATGAAGTCCTTGTTGTTAACTGGTTTGGTTTTTGAAACAAACTGGATATATAAAGTCCTTGTTGTTAACTGGTTTGGTTTTTGAAACAAACTGGATATATAAAGTCCTTGTAAAGATATGATAGAGAACATTATTGTGTGTAATTTAGAGTAACAAATTTTAAAGGATCATAAAAATAGAAAAATACAGAACAACTTTAAAAAAAGTTTTGTAATCCATTTTTAAAAAAATTTAACACATGGGCTTCTTTCCTTTATAATACATATTGATCTTTATTATTATTAATTTTTTATAGTAGAATTATTTTATGTATTACTATTAACATGATATTACCATATATGCATACACTGTGTTTTGATCATGTATGTCTATCCTTTTTTCTCTGTCCCAGGCCACAGGAACCCTGCTCAGTCCTTAATAAACCCTCTTTTATTTTCAGGTGACATTATAAAAACTTACTTAGTTTCCACATAGGAAAGAGAACATGTGATACTTATCTTTTTGTCTGGCTTATTTCATTAAACATGATGTCCCTCACTTCCACCCATTTTTAGATGATTTTTTTTGTTTGTTTGTTTTTGTTTTTTCCGGTACCGGGAATCGAACTCACGACCTTGCGCTTGCCAGGCAGACACTGCCACTGAGCTAAATCCCCAGCCCCAGTTCCACCCATTTTTAGAATGGCAAAAGTTCATTCTTTTTTTTTTTTTAATTTATTTTAAAAATAAGGAAAACATATTAACAAACAGAATCCATTTACAAAATAGCATAAGAACAATACAAACAACACAGAGTTATAGGCAAAGTGGTAGGAAATTAACAATGGTTGTTGTATTACATATTGATATCTTCAAAGTGGTTTCTCAGGAAAACAAATAGAGACATGCAATATTGATCAAGTAATCATTAACTGCTCCTTTCTGTAGAGCAATAGAAGACAGTAGTACAACTATGTTATCTATCCTGTATATGCATACATACATAATTTCCTCTTCTTTCCTTCTCTTTTCCCGCACTCCAGTTGCCCTTTACTTTTGAGTAAGGGAAACATGTATTTTCCTTTTGTTTTACAATGTGTCTCATACCTCCTAGTTTTTATTCACTCTTTCAGGTTCTTATACTAGTAAGGCAATACGTTGCTTACACACAGAGGTCTGATTTATTTCACTTATGAGTAAGGTCTCTAGTTGTGACCATCTACCCATAAAAACCTTGAGTTTATCTTTCTTTATAGCTGAATAGTATTCCATGATATAAAAGTACTACAATTTTTTTATCCAATCCTCGGTGGATGGACATTTGGGTTGCTTCCATAGTTTAGCAACTGCAAATTGCGCTGCTATGAGCAAGGGTGCACATATATCACTGTG